AAAGTTTCACCGTAGCCCCACGGTGGGCGCCAAAATGTTCCGGCCAAGGGAGCGTCTAGGGTTCTTCTCCTAGGTCAGGCCTCCAAAGCCAGAGCATTCAAGAGTGTAATCTGCCGTCTTAACTCTAGGGTTTTAGGTTTTATACTTTTCTGTTCATGGGCCACCTGGGCCTTGTGGGCGCGAGGATTTCCATAACGGTTTTCCTTGGGAATATTTGATTATCAAAGATAGGCTTTTCATCCTTGATTCTCGAACCAGTCCAAAGGGTGAGACCCACTCGGACTTTGGCCGACCATACCTTGGCCGAGCTCATCATGGCCGAGCACACCCTGGCCGATCTCACCATGGCCGAGCACACCCTGGCCGATCTCACCATGGTCGAGCACAGCCTGACCGATCTCACCATGGCCGAGCGCACCCTGGCCGACCATACCCAGGCCGAGTTCGTCCAGGAGGTTGGTGAGATCGCGGTCCGACTGATCTTACCCATGTGAGAGGTTAGATCGCCTGCCGACCGAGAAGACCCATATTCAAGATTCATCGGATCAAAACCTGTAAAGGGTATCAGATCGGGATCCGACTGGGACGGTACACTTGCCTTCCAGCCCTAAACCTATAAGGTGCAAGGGCTTAACTGTTCCTGAGATCGAGTCCAGATCGGACTCCGATCGAACTCCCCCAAGATCACCCTCGTGGGAGGGGATCAGGTCAGATTCTGATTGTTTCCATGCCTAGGCCAAAATCAGGTCGACCCTTTTCCGACTCCCCCCTTGATGTGCCGATACGGTACACAACTCATTCAGAATATTCCTAAAGAAAAACAGCTCCTCCTCAAGATTGGGCCAACATCTAGTAACTTGTCCATGGATCCAATTTATGATATAAATCTTCTTGGGACAAAAAAAAATATTGAATAGACATTTAATCAAGTTTTTTTTTGCAATTCACCCTTGATGTAATAGTATATTTCTTTTATACTCATCATGTAATAAAGAGTGTCTTCATTTTTCTCTTGAGAAATCTAGAAATACTTAATTAAAAGTGAGTTGTCCTCTTCCAAAATCAGACTTTCTTCATATACAAAAGCCAAATAGTTAAAGAGATCGATCCAAAGTAATTAAAATAGTATAATACAATATGTTTCATTAGTAGTTTTAAATTACTTTTATTATATTATAAGTTAATACATAACATATGGAAACTTTGTATAAGCGATTTATAAAGTGAATAATTGTTTGAAATTAGTATTTATAAAGTACCCATCAGTGCAATGAAGGCAACTTCACTATATAACAAAGACAATTAATAATGGATGGAAATTTTCTAGTGTTAAGTCTTTGATGATACAAATGAGGTTGTGACCCGCAATTAGTTGGTAATTAAGAAAATACAGAATGGTAGCCAAAAGGGTTTGTATATTGAGAAAGGTATTTTGTAAACATATGTAGATTGGAGTTGGTTAACGAGAAATGTGTGATTTTGCAATGTTTATAGCTGTTGGTCCATCTCCCAACTTTGCTTTGGTGCCACCCCACAATGCTTGGGGACGTATTCCTGGTCAAATTAGCAAAGTGAAGAAAGTATATATTAAATAAAGAGAGTTAAGAGTTAAGAGTTTGGTTATGAAAAAGAAAAATTGAAAATAGAAAATAGAAATACCTCAAGCTTGGACATGAGGTCTTGGGCAGTTTGGGCAGAGACAATAATGTGACGGGCAGCGGGTGTAATGAAACCTTCGTGAACAGCGTTGTCCATGAATGACAGCAACGAGTTGTAGTACCCATCCACGTTCAACAACCCCACCTGCTACCAACGCATCTTCTCATCATTTTCCCATTTTCACTCTTTTCTCTTTCCACACCCTCATTCAAACTAATTCATTGCCTTTTATACTAGTCAATCAATATATTCCATCACAACGATCTCTTTATTTTTATTTATTTATGAGGATTACTATTCAAACAAAACGCATAAGGGTTTTGGTTTTCGGTATCTTACGGGTTTATCGTGGATTCCTAGTTGAGCCCAGGTAATCACTTCTAGTAGTTCTTCCAGGGTGCCATATCCACCTACATCAATATAAATTTCCAATAAATTAATTACTATATATATATATATATATTTTATATTAAATTAATTAGTTCATTATTGCTTTTCCTATAAGAATGCAATAATAGAATGAAACTTCAAAAGCGCTAGCTAGCTGCACGAATCTTATTAATTGCAGCATATATACAGTTGACAGTTATGATCCGTTAATCGTTATTGATAAAGATGTCACGAGAAGCTATTTTCACTTCGCGGAATACGGAACAACTTTATAAATGAAATATATATAAATTGTTTAACTATTTTTACTATTTTTTTTCCTTACAAAAAATTATTAGAAGAAAAAAAAAAGAAACAATTAGAGATGATAGAGAGAAAGTTCAACTTAATTTCATTGAAGTTACTTTTTTTGTCTGCATTTGTTTTTTATCAGTCTTCCAATTGCTTTTACCTTTCACTTTTTGAAATTGATTCTTGTAAATTTTGAATAATAAATGGAGAATGTTAAAAGAAATATAAGGACATTTTTTTTTATTATTCGTTAAAATAAAAAAGGGTAAAAATTGTTATCGTAGGAAAGGTCAGAATCTCTGGCATCACATCGTACAAACAAGTGGAGAGAAAAGAAAAAACCTGGCAGCGCAATAAATGCATCGGCTTTTTGTGGCACCTTTTTCTTTCGC